AGATTTTATATATTTTACTTTCTTCTGGAGCTTCCTTGAGAGGTTGTTTAGCACCTGCACTGAAACTAGTTAACTGTAACATGAAAGGAAAAAAGAACTTTACACACAAATTCTTCAAATCACTACAGTGAAGAATGGAATAGAATTCATTTGAGAACAGGAAGTGACCAAGTGGACATATTTCAAACACAAACTTCAGCTCAGTTAATTCTGGCTAGAGCTTCTTCATTGGTAAGAAAGGGCTCAAAAGTAACAAAGGTGTTGCTCATAGTTACACTGTGGCATGTAATGATTCCAGCACCTTTGGGGAAAATAAAATCCTATATTGAGCTTGGGCAATAACAAATTGTCTTTACTCGTTTTCATAGTTTAATGGCTAAAGCTCTAAGGCTTTCAGTGAGAGTTGAAGTGTGGTTTTTAGTTTTCTATATGGATAGAAACACACCAACAACAATAACAACAAGAGCATTAAAGGTTGGCATACGCTGAACCGCACTGTGGGATGAAGCGCATTGCATATCCATAGCATTGAAGTATCAGTTTTCCATTCCTGGGCTGAAATTTGTTTCTACTTTTTGCTTCAAGTGGTTGTATTGTTCTGATTTCACGTACACCAGAGTAACTGATTTTGTTTTCTTGTGGAGTTACTTAACACCAAATAAAAATATAAAAGGACAATTGGATGGTGTGTGTGTGTCTTCATTTTCTTCGGCTAATGTGTATGATACAGATACAACATGCAGTTAAGCATTAAATCTTCTGGAGAAATGGCATGACATACCTAATTAGGGAGTCCTTTTCATTGCTGTAATTTTTACAACTATTTTTCGGATGTAGGAAAATTAAATACATTGCATAGGTACTTTAAAAAAAAAAGAAGACAAAATTAGTTTTGTCCACATTTTATTTCTGTAGAAATTAATTTATAATGACAAAGTCATGTTTAGAAAACACGAGACCTTTTAAAAAATAAACCCAAGCAAACCCAGACCCTCTCTCACATAACAGTTACAGAACTTGTATGTAATACAGGATCTAACCCAGCAGATTTCTATTTCTGCTTTTAACTGGTGTTCAGCCATCAAGTATCTCACTAATTCCATGGCTGCACCTCCTTTCAGAAAAAGGAAAAAAAGCCCCAACAGCTCATATTTTACTTGGTGGAGCCTTGTGTATGTTGGTGCTGTAAGTCTGCAGCCAAAGTAACCTGGGACTCTGTCCAGAATGAATTCTGCTGAATTAGAAGTTCAGTGAAAACACACTTGAAAATAATGGAAGTCCCTCTCTAAGGTCCTTGGGTGAATACTTTTTTTCAAACTTGGTAGTTGAAACTTTAAAAGGCATACATTATTTTCAATTATTTCTTAAATATAGCAGTAGCATATTTGCATTGCATTTATAGAAGATACTTGATAAAAGAACTACATTTCATCAGTCAGGCTTTTCAATTCCTGTATCTGAATTAATCTTAAATACACATATTGTAAAGAATTAGTTTCCAGTGTAAACAATGCTTCTGTCATGCAAAAACTGCCACTGTATAGCCCTAAAGCAAGTGCATCTGTCAATGGTAGGACAGGCTGGCTGTAAATGCATGTGACACTGCCTTTGTGGGAGTGTCTGGTGTGAGAATACATGGGAAGGCAGTGAACCTTCTGGAAAGCCAGGATTCCTTCACAGTAACTCATTCTTTCCCTCCCAGGACCAGCATAGTTAAATGTTATCCCCAGTGAATTAGTCATTACCTTCCACATACAGCATCTCACATAATTTTCTTTTATTATATGTGAAACTAATAGCAAGAAGACTCCAGAGGTTTGGAACAAAGGAGTCTTTACGATACATTTTAGCTTCCTACTGTAAGACTTCTGTTCCATTGTTCAAGTTCCTCTCAAAATGTAGTATTATATGCAATTGCTTATAAATTTTATGGTCTACCTCTGCTCCAATGGGATGATAATGGGATAAATGGGAAAAGACAGCTGACAGAGCTGACAGTGGGCCAACATGCTGCTGAGAAAAAGCCACTGAGAGACAGAACACTGGTGTCCCTGCCCTACTTCATCCATGTGTAACAACTTCACCTGCAAACAGTGAGCACAGAGGCTGAGCTGAGAGGCTGCTGTGGTGCTGCCTTCTGCCTGACAGCCTTCTTGGAGGGCAGATGATTTGGGAAGGACAGTGTCTGTCATTACTGTATTTGCAGCTAATGCAGGAACGAGGGGCTGCAAAAGCAGTACAAAGTCTCTGGGTCCCTCTGTTAACAGCAGTAAGAGCCATTTAATAGTGCTACAACTGCTTGTCACATACAGATTTTGGGATTTGCTGATGAAGGGTTGAACTGCCAATCATTTCTGCACTGGCCTTATTTTACTCACTGCAAGCAAACAGAGACACAGGAGCAGCAGCAACTCTTCTTGTCTCATAAAACTGAGAACTCTCAAATTCTTGAATTTCTTTTAAAACCATTTTTACTTCTAAGCAGTAAAAATACTGTTAAAAAGCATAGATGAGTGCATTTTCAGATTCATCTCTGCCTTCCTGTTGGTAGCCATGGAAATGCTCAAGCAAAGAACAGTACAGTACAGTAGCAGTACTGAAAGCAAACACATAAGGACTGCCTAAAAAAAGGGATGCCACTTCCACCGCTAGAGATTTTTAGGAACATATTAGACACGTGTCAAAAAATTATGTAATGACCCACACAAACTTGTGTAGTTTTTTTCCGTTACTTGTCCCCAATTTATGTTTGAGAAAAAGTACAACTTGTGTGTTGTTTAGGCCTACTGTCTGAAGAATAATTTGCCTCATTAATCTCTACCTGCTATGATGAGCCAGCCTAATCCCTTACAGATACAGGACAGAAACTGGTGTGGAATTTTTCATTTTTGCAGTTACTTTATTTGTGCAATAATGAATATTAAGAACACCCTTTATGTTTCCAATACCCTTTTAGTAGGATTTTGTCTTTTTACTTTTTTTCTTCCATTTCATAACTTCTAATTTTTTCATTGCTATTTGGCTTCTAATGGTCCTCACTTTGCAATGGAGTTCTAGCCCTCAATCATTTGCTACTGGAACCTTCATCTCTTTGACAACAAAGTCTTCTTCAGGAAGTCTAAGTTGTCATTCATGGCTTTTAAATATTTTCCTGCTATTGTATTCAGTACAAAAATATGAAACTCCTTGAATCACTGCAGTTCCATGGAGACATAATAATGGGATCTGTTACCTGCCCAAACTGAATGTTACCTAGTTTCCTTCATCCCTACTTCGTCTAGACAACAATTGATTTTTAGTCCAGTACTTCTTTTTTTCTTCAGAGTGAGTTCCAATAGATGTTGCCATGTTGGCAACTGCTCCAGAATAGATCTGTTTTCTTTTGGAAATGTAATTTAAATAGTGCTTGCTTAAGAGAATAAATCTGTTATAGAACTCCAGCTTTTCATTATGCAGCTGTGCATAATAACAACCATGTTTCCTTCTCTGGCATGATTTAGTGATGAGTGAAGATCTGCAACAGAGGTACCATGGAGGCTTTGTGAGCGATTATTTATGAGCACTCAGGATTCTGCAATTCTGAGATATTGTGCAAGGAGTAATGTTTTTAGTTGATAGAGTTTTACTCCTTCACACCTTATTACTCATATTGTCTTTCCTAAGCAGCTTGTAGACAGCGATAGAAACAATCCTGTCACGCATCATGTTTCAAAAATATCAGTTCAAACGTGCTGGAAAGTCTCACACACTTTCCCCTTTCCCTTTCTCTTTCCAGCTCCTCATTTTCTTGCTGTCTCGTGGAGGGAAACCATCTCAGTCTGTTCTTACCCAGTGGTAACAGAAGTGATGGTAGCTATAGATCAAGCTTCCTCATCCTTTATAAGTCCAAGTTCCTATAGGAAGAGGATTATCCCTTTTGGGATAACCAAATAGCATGTTCCTGATTCACCCCAAACCTGTTAAAATGACCTGGTGAACAGATAGTCCGCCTCTAGCAGGAACACCTGTGCAGATGGTGCCTGTGCTGAAAAGGGACTGCTATCAAATACAGACAGGCAAAAATAGTTTTGTGTGAACAAAATTAATTTCTGATGAATCTGAAGTAAAAGATATTTGTCCCTCAAAACCATCACCATTTGCTTCCAAGGTGTTGAATTTTTCACAGAATTATTACCCTTTTCATTGCTACAAGTCAGTAGAAACCTGAATATATTCATTGTTCCCTTTTCTTGTGCCATATAACACGCACGGGTTATTTCCCTGTGCCTAGATGTAATTCTGTAAGGCAAGGAAGAAAAGGAGCAATGTCTCCTGTCTTGCTAACATTTGCTTTCAAGAGAGCCTCTCTGTCTCGTGGTATGATGCATAACAAGTGGGAGTATCCAGCACTGCCACACTTGGTACCCTTGCACTCAGGCCTGGGTGAGCTAAAGTGCCTTAAATCACAGTGATGGCAAGTGGAAGCAGGAGCTGTTGGTCCTCTCACAATGATGCACAACTGCTGTACATTCACCACATGCTAATCTTTTCCTTAAACTAAAGGAAAAAAAAATGTCCTCTAACTTACGAAGAGAATTACTGACTTTCAAGACTGCACAGTGGATTCAAATGAAGCTCAGTTTGGCTGGCTCTGAAAGCTGCTTGCATCACACTTGGCTTGTGATGAATGAAAATGCAATCTAGATGTTCTCATCCAGCTCTTAAAAAAATAAATTTGAAGTTGTTATAAATTACAAAATTGCTGAAGCTTCAAAACAGAACTGACAGCCTAAGCAGAGAATGCTTTCTCACATCTACAGGCATAAGTATGACAGAAACTTGCATTTCTGTTCCTTGGCTCTAATGAAACAGAGGAAGGACTATATTTGGTGTACTTTTATCATATGTTGTATATTTTGGAGAAATCACCAAGACAGAAAAGAGCAAAATCTCTTCATGCCTTCTTGCAGAATAACCATTAAAATGGGATATCAAACTCTACTGGCATGAATATGAGCCTGTATGACAGAGCTTTTGAACAGAATGTTTTTTAAAAAATTAAATTCTCTAGCACCAGTCTGTTATTAGACATGTAGAAGTTTTTTTGCCCACTAGGTGAACATCAATTGCCAGTTTGAGACTGCTCTATGTAACATTTTGTTTCTACACAACAGCTGCATGCAAGACACTCTTAAAGAAAGAAAGAATTATTTTATTCCAGTAATTTTTATAAAATTGTGCTGCAGGTTTACTTGACCCTGAATCAGTGGCAAAAGACTGATAATAACCATGCTGATTTTATGTCCCACAATTAACTTCTTATCACACTTCCGAGAATCTACTTACAACCCACGTGTTTAAACAGGAAGACTTGATTTCTGTGTGCACCTTAAATTTTGCACAGCTGCTGCAAAAGAAAGGTGCTAAAGGTCCCCTTTATGCTGAGTTATGCTTTTAGACTTCCTGTACCTGGCAGTACCTGTTCTGTTTCCTTTTAGTAATTAGCACATGCTGCATTTCATCACAGCTAGTGGTGTGACATTTAGTAGCATTTAGTCACAATGGGAGCCCTTCAGCTTCTCCCCAAACAGAGAAGTAATAATGCACAACATTTGCAGACAGAAATTTCTCATGTGGGACGGAGGGGGCATGAACAGACTGATGCTAACTGCTACTGCAAACCACTTTTTGGTGCTAGCTCATGACAACCAGAAATGCTGCTTCCCCTTTCCTGAGGTACACAGCCATTCATGTGCAATAGAGGGGTGGTTTTCATATTGACTAGGCTGCAATTCCTGTGACTTGCCACATGCTCAGCTACCGCTGAAAGATTTTTTTCAGCAGGTTTTTCTAATTGTTTGTTCAGCCGAAAATATATTAAGCTGGGAGTATCATTATTTCCTGTGCAGGTACTCTGCAGAATTAGAGAGTTCCTGACTGTTTCCATTCTTTTATTTACCCTGGGAACCAAACAACTGACCTAGCCACAATGACACATCATGATGACAATACTCTCTTCTGGTTGCTCCGACAGAAGAATTGATTCATACTCTCAAAAACAGAAGAAAAAAATTATTATGGAAAAAGAAATTAGTAACAGTATATGCGCAAAAAATCTTTTGCATATAAACAAGTTTATAGTGCCTCAAAATTGGTTTGCTTTTATTTACCTTTATTTATTTACATTTAATATGGACGCTCTCTTACAGAGATAGTAGTCATTTTCAAAAGAAGACATGGAAAAATTAGTACCAATCTTAAAAGAAATACAGCCAACTAAGGACTCACCCCATCACAGAAACAAACTATCTGCAGAGGTATAATTTTCGCTTGATGGTAGATTTTCAGAGCAGTTTCATAACAATCTAATTCTTATCTTTGTAGTATGGAATTGGTGTCAACAGGGTCATGGTGGCAAGTACTTCTGTACAGGTTTACCTCAGCCTCTCACGATTCATTCAAGTGTAACTTGCCCGTATCAAAGCTTGAATAATCACGGGTTTACACTGCTTCATAACGAACCAGTTACACCAACACAAGTCCAGATATTTCAGCCTCTGCTGCCCTCACACATCAGCTTCAGTGTAGACATGAGAGGTGTGAGGTGACGAGAGTGCTTAAATCCTGGGTTCAGAGGGGGGACAGCTTTATCTTGCCACCGTTCTAGAGACACGATCACCGACTCTAGGTGCAAGACACATGACCTTTGCAGAAGACAAGAGCAGTGCCGAGTTTCGCAGATGATAAGGAAACACGACAGCTCTGCTCCTGTCAGGCGGTGACTGCTCGGAAATCACCGTGGGGGTAGAGCAGGGTGTGACAGCTCCGCCGTGCCAACGGCCAAAGCGTGCACTGTGAGACGGAAGGTGAACAGAACGGAAAGATAAAAATACAAAAATCACAATTACCACCCTAGAGCTCCCACTTTTGGCACTGCAGAGCGTAATGCCAGAGTTCCACAGAGCTAGGGGCACACCTGCACATGATGCCTCCACACGTACCGTAGCCCGCACTTGCAAACCCACTGAATTTTGTTCTCACCCTAATCGCAGGCAGCAACGCGGGGACAGCCAGGGCCTCCCGCCGCCCCGGCAGGAACGCGGGACGGGCTGCAGCACCTGGCGGCCAAAAAGTGGCTCCCGCCGAGCCCGGGGCTCCCCAGAACGGGCGCCCTCAGCCACAGCCGCGTTTCCCTCCGTTCCGGGGGTTCCTCGGAACCAGAGCCCCAGCCACAGCCCCGCTCCCGGGGCGCCTCCACTGCCCAGCCAAGCGGGCACCGCTGCGCACCGGCCGCGGCCGCTGAGGCGATTCAAAATGGCGCCCGGCGGCGGCCGCCCGCCGCCCCCCTCCGCGCAGGCGTTCCCTTTCCCGGCGGGCGGGGCTTCCCCCGGCGCGCCGGGCAGGGGGAGCGGAGGCGGGGCGGGAGGAGTCCGAGCTGCGGGGGTTGGAGCATCGCCGGAGGAGCCCGGCACCTGCCCCGCAGCCAGGTGTGCGCCGCCGGCGCCATGGGAGGCCCCACGCCGCGCCGAGGGGGTGCCCGGCGAGGGGCGGCTGCTCCGCCTCAGCCGCGCTGAGCCCGGCGCTGCTCCGCGGGGACCGGAGAGCAGCGACATGGACTGCCCGCCGCAGCCGCCGGCCGCCTCCTAGTCCCGCTGCAGCGGCTGTGGGGCGCGTCGGGCATGGCCCAGCGTGACGAGAGCGACGGAGGGCAGCGCTACCCCGGTGAGGTGTCCGGGCTCCTCGGGGCTGCTCCTGCTCGGGCGGCGGCGCTGCCCTCCAGGGCTCGGGGTGCTGGTGGTACCTGTTGGTGTGAGGGGCAGGCGGGAGGGGAGCAGCCTCGGCACCGAGGGCCGCGCTGGCTGCGCCCGGCCGTGGCCACGTAAAAAAGTTGAGAGGAGCAGGTGGGCTGAGCCCTCGGAGTGTTCACCGAGTGGGTTGGAGACCGCAGAGAAGAGTGAGCGCTGCTTCCTCAAGGTTTTGGTTGTGGCTTTTTCTTTTTTCTTTTTTTTTTTTTTTTTTTCGGTTGTTTCAGTTTCTTTGCGCTGTTTTGTAAGCGAAGGCCGCTAGCTCGGAACCTTCGCAGAGCGAGTCGGGTTCAGCCCGTGAGGAGGAAGCAACTTTGATCTCGCTGCCCCTCTTCTAGTCGAAGTCTCCCAGGCAATTCCCAAAGACCAAACAAAACTGCATCTCACAGCAGCTGAAGTTCTCCTGACGCTGCTGCTAATTTAACGTGGTTCACAGAGTTTCCAGCAATAATGGTGTGAGGAGGGTAAAAGCCCTGTAAAGCGCTTCTGGAGCAGAGGCTTTAGCAGAGCACTGTAACTTGTTTGTATTGCCTGCCTGACGGAGCAAAAACAGTCGGAAAGTGGTGAATGGCTTACTTATGATTACTGTCCGAGCACTCCGCTCAGGAGCCAGCTTTGCAAAGCTCACACTTCTAAAAGGTCACCAGCTGAGAGTTAGATAATAGTCACCTTAATTAAAACAAAACAAAGAAATGCCCACTAGTTTATTTTCTTTTTGCCAGTAAAGTTTTGGCAGTACTTACATAGGTAACTTTAATTGCTGTATCCCATGTTTAGTTAAAAGGCAGGCTTTTTCTAGTCTTAGGAGTTCTTCGCTGTTGGCGATGCTGTGGCTGTTAGAATGTGCACACAAATGGAGCAGAGAATCTTTAATAAACAAAACTGAGTTTGATGCTCTTGTGCACCAAGGTCACTCAGAGCTGCCCTTGATAACAGCAGTGTGTTTCTTGGTACAAAAATAATACTAAAGCATGGAGAATATAAGCCATTAATTAAAAAAAAATCCCTTTAAGAAGAAAAAAAAGTTTCAACTTTTTCAAGAAATTCCTTGTTCTTAAAAATTTGAGAAAAACTCGTGGCAGAACTAAGTGTTGAAGAGGTAATGTGTGATGTTAGCTCTTTGAGAACTGAGCTGTGTATGCAATCATTCCTCTTCTCATTCCTGCGAGGCAAGAAAATATAAAGCCTTTTTTTCCAAATTATTGTCTTATCCTTGTTGCTTGCCTAAACTGCATCACAACTCCCAGCAAACTTGGAATAACGGGCCTTGAGTTTGCATCTTTCTGGTTTTGTTTTGCTCTAATGGTTTGGCATTGCTGTTATCTTTAACTTTTATATCAAAGTGGATTAAAAAGCCATTTTATTGTAGATCTTAGAAATTATAATCAGCTATGACTTGTTCCCTCTGTATGGTTGAGTGATATGCAAAGCCAAAATGTGTTTTAAAGCCTCTGGTTATTGTCAGAACATGCCTTCTTGCATGCTGTGATCAGAATCTGGGGAATGTGAGGCTGTATAGACAGCCCTACTACTGACACAGATGGAAACTCCACCTGTCAGAAAAAAGGTACCTAGGAAAGGGTCTGAAAGCAGAACTAATGTGTGTTGATGTTTTCATAAAGTTTGGTACTTGCAGTTTAGAGCCTTTTTGAGTTTCTCTTTGTTTAGGAATCATCAGCAATTTTGTATTCCCAAGCTTACACATAAATTTCTTGCATGCACAGTGTTCTGTGAGGAAGAGTTGTGCAGGTTAGCTGCCATTTGTGTGAATAGTTGTGTCCTGGTGTTAATTTTGAACCTGGCTACAAAACTGTCTTTATCATGTGCTCCTTAGCACTTAAGTTGAAAGTGTTAATGAGTAAATAACATCTACCTGCACTCTCATTGCCACTTGTGACCTTGGCTGTATTTTCCTAACTCCCTTTTCCTTGTTATTTCTTGTGGGATGTTCCCTCCTATGAGATCGTGTTCTCTGTAAGACAGAGGATGTTAAGACTTTTACAAATATTGACTTTATTTCAATCGTAATATATTTAAATAAGCAATGGGAATTATTAATCTTGTGCAGACAAAATTGCATACTATTTCTCAGGCAGAGAGGTACTTTATGGTACTCAGATGATAATGTTTCAGCATCATTATGTTAATAAGTGCTTTATGGACGGAAGTTAGCATTGGAGTACATGACAGAATATTTGACATCAATTGTCAGATTTTGCACTTACCAGTGAGGCAGCTAAAACAGAGTATAAATATCACTCCATCCCTAGAAACAATTGTACAACTTAACTCAAAATGAATCAAGGAGTTCTCCTATGTGTTCTTGAGAGCTGACTGCATCTCAAGTTTTCATTTAAAGCCCTTGATGGGTACACTTCAAAGCCTCCCACAGTTTTGCTGAACTGTGTAAAACCTTTGTAACTTGCTGTTGCATAATTTGCTCCAGCAAGCTGTAGTGTTGTATACTTCTGCATTTCTTGGTTGCCTGTTTAAAAGATCTCTTCCTGTTAAATTTATTGCTTGAAAAAATACCAAGTCAAGTTAAAATAAAATTCCATGCCAGGTACAGAAGCTATTTTCACTTTTTTTTTTTTCTTGTAATTCTTTTGTTTACAGTATTTGGCCTCTTGAGCTGCTGTGGTTACTGCCTCTGCCAAGGTCACTTGAATGCTTACCATTTGTAAGCTTGGTTGAGAAGAGCAGTGCAATTAAGCTAAGGACTGGCTGCTGCTTGGGAAAATCATTGAGCAGAAGTAAAGGCAGTTATGGGAGGAATTCATTATGAGAACATGCTTGTGCTGTTTACCCAAACATCATCAAAGCTGTTCCTGACAGATTACATTTGTGTTTTGTTTTCTGGACTGCACTTTCTAGATGCATTCATAAGTTTGGATTCTTGTGAGTCAAACCCCTTGGTTATCCTGTTCTGAAGTGTATATGTGTATATGCTTTAGGGTGACAGAAGGGGCTGGGGTGGGCTGTGGATTTGAAGAGCAGTGTGGAGTATATGAAGGAATAAAGGTGAACACAGGGAGAAAAAAAAAGTCAGACTTATGTTAGAAAAACAAGTGAATCCAAGTAAGGTCTGAGAACAGGAGATTCCAGTATATGCAGCAGTAATTATATCTACTGCTCTATGTTATATCTTCTTTGTATGCTTGAACTATCACTGTTGACTTCTTGAGTATAGTTTGTTGCCTGCATTCAAGGATTTCTGTTTAGGGTTGTTTGTTTTTTTTGCTGGCCCTTGCAATTTTAATTTAGTGAATAGAGAATTCATAATGTACACAGGTGGTGTGCCAGCTATTTCAACACATACTTTAATTGCAGGGATGTAAACTTTTCAAACCATGGTAATATGAAAAAAAAAAGTTGCTATAGCAACTCTTTAAGAAAAGACTTCACACATCTTCACAAGCCTTTTAGTCAAAATAGTACACTTGAAACCTTGCTTAGGCAGATGATAGGCAATTGATGCATTGATTGATTTCAATGGGTAGCATATTTCAATGGGCTGTTAAAAAGTTCTGAAGAAGTCTAAAAGATTAAATATCTAGGATTGTTTCTCCTTGACTGTTTGCCTGTGCTTAGGAGTGGATTGAACTGGAGTTTCATATCTGCTAGTGAATACTGTTTGGGTAGTAAGCTAAAGATTTAGTGTAGCCTACAAAGAACAGTTGGATTTCTGAACTTTCCACATGACTGAACTTATGAAAAAAAAAAAGGTTCTGTTTGGACCAGTGAGATATGTTTGAAATGAGTTTTCTCTCACTCGCTGCCTGTTGGTATCACAATGCCAAACTGTATTGATGTCCTCAGATCTAAGAATGGACTGTGTGTCAAAGCCTGGTGTTTGGCAGGGCTCAGGTGACATTAGCCAAGGGTTTAGAACTGCTGTGAGGTAGCAGTTTTCACTGACATTTGAAATTGAGAAGTTTGGGGTTTTTTGGGGGGTATGTGTGTATTTTTTTTTTTAAATAGAATGTGGGGAGGACCTTCTAGAGAATAACTGGCGCCTTTAATTGAGTGCTCTACTTGAGAGAGAAGGGGAGACCAGGCTTCAGGAGCTGAAGAAAAATCTGTCTAGAAAACAGTCTGTTTGCAAGATGGAATGAGTGTTCTTCACTCATTCACACTTATCCCAGAGTGTTTCAGAGATAAGAAATTGAAGCAATATGCACATATTTGTTCTGCCAACTGCTGCAGAGTAATTGCATTGCAAACTTCAGAAGAGCTGTAGACAATTTACTACTGCTATGGAAAAAGAAAATCTGTGTAATATATAGTGTTACATAGCTCATATAGTGTTTAAGGGTCAGTAGCAATTCTGGAAGCCAGGGCAGTACTCCTGATGGTGTTCCAGGTGTATAAAAGTTGCCATTGAGTTCAGTGCATCCAACCTGTAGCTCCTTTGTGACAGCCCTTGCTTTGCAGGTCATTCAGATTCAGACTGGAAGTGGGGCACTGACTGGATTAACTGAGCTGCTGGCAGCCCCTGGGGAGGCAGCATGGATGAAGGATCACAGTCCTGAGTGCAGTTAATACAATGTATTTGCAAATGTCATTGCTACTGGATGGGCACTGATGAAGTGCATTGGTGTATTATCAAAACATGGACTGTATGGATAGCTTTATAGCTGTTCAGATTTTGCATCTCTTCCTTAATGCAACAATGATACATTATGCATTCTCTTCTGTCGTGACAATTTTATCAGTTTTATAGTTTCCAAAAGAATGCTGAGAAAGTCTGTTTACATGAACAACTATGAATCTGGTCTAAGCGTATGGAAACAAGTTTTGTAACTCTCTGACATCAGCAAATATGAATTTATGACTGTATA